TACTATCTTCTTCTACACTTTCTTTACACAGATCTCTTCCAGATCATGTGAAGTCACGAACAATACAGAACCCTACGTTCTAAAATAAAAATTCAACAATATCCAATGCATAAACTTTAAACTTTCATTTTTACATTCAAAATACTTTAGTGCCACATAACTATGCTTTAAAATTTGTTTCATATTAAAATTTTTAATATTATGCTGGTAAATATAAAAATATAGGTATTATATATGAAAATACATAAAAATTATGTATTATGCTTGTAAATAGCCCAATAGAAAAAGTTTTCACCTAAACTATAAATTGGTAATTTCCAAATTTTATTTTTAAAAAAAATTTTTATCATGCATGTATAAAATTTGTATGCTATTTCTTTAAATTAATGAAATGTTAATTATGCAAATTTATGGTTCATTAAGTTTGAATTTAGAATTTGCTTTCATTTATTATACAAGTCAATTTTTATTTTATTTTATTTATATTTTAATTTTAAATAAAATCACTTGAATTAATTTTATAATGAATAATTTATAATTGTATGGATCAACTTATATTAAAGAAGAATATTAAGAATTTATATAATAATAATAATAATATGCACTCAACTAGATTTTCTCTCTCACTATCTTGATTAGGAAATAGATAAATAAATAAATAAATAAATAATATGAAGCTCTGATATAATAAAAACATTAATTATCCCATGAATATTAATTCGACTATTTTTTGATTGAATAAGCTAAGTAGTTAAACTTGAGCCAGCTCCTCTCACCAGCTTATGAGCCAGATCATTTGAAAAGAAATTAATTTATAATATTATTAATGTAATAAAGTTTTTACACGTGGAGTCCATCTATCGAAATAGGTTGAACCGAGCGTGTTTTTCAAAGTGGCTGAAGTGAGCCCAATTTTGAAGTGGCTGAAATTGACTAAATTTGATTGTTTTCTCGGTTTTTTTTTTAAACTCGGAGTCTCTAGGTTGTCGATTTAATGTCGTCTTGTACTTCACTTATTCAAATAAATCTCTCACCCAAATCATATAAATGATTCGAAGATGTGAGAAATCGAAAAGAATGATATACGACAACAAATAAGCAACAAATCAAAAGAAACAAGCGGAAGACTTATGTATAGGTGATTTTAGTGTGATTGGTCGAGAGTATACATCCAAACAAGATTAGATCGAAGTACATCGAAACACAGCATCCAAAAGAATCCATACATAAGTCACTCATAACCAGAGAATTAAAAGTGCATTTTTGTTCTAGGGTTAAGCGTCTCTCAGGTGAACGTATCCCTTTGGTTAATTACATCCTCGGGGATACCTAAAAATACTATCGATAAAAGGAGTTTCGCTTATATTATCATGAACCTGGAGATCATGTCATCGAAGGATGGTTATTTAGTATGAAAAGCCCCGATGCTTCAAAGCTTTATCAAAGCCATCATACAGAAAGTGGGTTTCTCACATCTTAAATTGGTAATGGCTCGTCAGCATCAGAACTTACGAAATAGCCAAAATCATTTTGATAGGGATATCTTTATACATCAGAGCTCACCGGGCCATAATAACAGAGAGTGAATCACTGAATACCAAACCTCTTGGTGAGGCCTACTTAGTGTTTGGACTTCAGCGTTATCATATAAGTCGACTACGCTGCCAAATTAGGCTTGACCCTCATCCGTTTTTCCTTCGTCGCCACTTTTTTCCTCTTCACGGAGGAAGAGATCTGAAACCCCACCTTCGCTAGCCTCCGAGGATCCACAATGATCCAGTTTGAACCTTCAACCATAACACTCCTCAGCCACAAAAAGGGAAATTGATGACAAACGATACAAGGCTCAGTTCATGCCCATTTATAGAGCAGACGGGGCACGAAATCCTAAGGGAAGTTAGATGTTTAATTAGTTCATGATTTTAATGCTAATGATTAATTAATAAATTTCCTTGTTCTTATCGTAGCTATCGCTATCAAAGAGCATAAAAACTTGGGGAACTAATATGTATACAACATAAATACCGGAATGAATCTCAAAGAGAACGAACGACCAAGATAAAAAAGATTCCTTTTGAGGTAAGCAATCAACCTACGATTCAACGCCTAACATGAGAAACCACGTCTCTGAGCCCGTGATAAGTCGAAGCTTTTGAGATGGTTCCCCGCTCGGTAACGACGAGATCCGCCGAGAGTGAAGTATAAATCATCTCGACAATGAGTCTTGTCAGATATCTCGCATAGGCAATCACAAGATCCACCCAAGAACTTATGAGATAGGGAAATCTGGCTGGGGCGACGAACCTACCAAGCATGTGAGACATGGTTCTGTAAGACTCGAATTGAACGACAAGTATGTCATGACTCACGCAACCGCAATTCGCCAACCAACCTGGGGCGAGCAAGTGCCATACAGCCCAACGCCTCGACCGACCGACACACACTTCGGAAGGCACAGTTGTCATTCCACCGGTTGCCTCAATTAGTTGAACTCAGACAAGTTGACCCGCCGATTACTACCATGTTAAAATTCAAATTGTAATAAATATATTATAAAAAATCCATATAATTAATTAATGCATTAATCATATTAAAAACAATTTCCATAACTGCTCCATCCTTCCTGTAATTGTACGAAATATGCTCCTCTAAATATTAGACAAAAATATGCATAAAGGGCGCTCACTCCTCCGGTTCTCTCGACAGTAAATTATTGACCCATTTTACTCTTTTTTTCTTTTCTTCACTCAGCTCCAACTCTCGAAGCGTGTTCACAAAAGATAATTTGGGATCCAACATATCACGTGAATGATAAAAATTGATCAAAATAAATTAGGTAAGATACACACTCCGCTTAGTTATGGAAAAAATGAAAAAAATAAAAAAAACAAAAAGGTAAGATTAATCATTTTTTGGTGATAACACTCCACTTAGTTATGGAAAAAATTAAAAAAAAAACAAAAACAAAAAGGTAAGATTAATCATTTTTTGGTGATGATGAAACATAATTTATGCTTCAAATTTTATTTCAACTTAACATATCCCATACATTTTTTATTTGTCAACCCTATTGCACTCCTAATATCGAGAGCTTAAAGATGATATAGTTTATGTAAGAATAGTGGGAATTACATAGCTTCCACAGCTTATGGAGCCAACAAATATATTGCTATTAATGTTGACAATAAATATTTGTTTTCTATTAACTTCTTATTGAACAACTTCAATTCATTATGCCCTAATCATAATGGTAGTTGCAAGGTTGTGAATATCGGATCGTATTTTAAATCGAAAAAAGGAAATATTCAATGTTCATTGGATTGAACTGAGTCGAATCGTAAGTTGAACTGAACGACGTAATAAATAAAAAAATAATTAAATATGACCTAAATGATGCAATAATTATGTAATGAGCTTCTAGGTTAGTTTGAAGTTAAAATTTCTATTTAGGAGCCACTAGAAAATAACAAACCTTGGTGTTTTATTTAGATACATAAAAGGTATCATAAGCAAATAAATGTCATTCCTTGGCAACCTAAAGTATAGAAATACTAAGTGTAGCGACTAAAAATGGAACATCAAAAAGAAAGTTTGAAACATTGACAAATAGGCAGTAAACGGTGGCGAATGTGGTGAACGATAGACAACTTGCAAGAAAATCGTTGGTGAATACCATCGAACAACAATAAGCGGTGGTGAATGGTGGCGAACTCCCAGTCCCCATCTTCCATGCACTCGAAATCTCAGACTCTTGAACAAAGGAGAGAAGTAGGTCTCATTTCGTTCAGTATCAAGAGAATATTAGGGATTTAGGTTTTACAAGATTTGATAAATAAGCGTAAAACAACTTTGCACGATTCCAATTTATTGATTTAGGGTCCGATCACAATAGGACAATTTTCAAATAACTGAACCAGTTCGCATGTCCATCGATACAACCGATTCCAAGCAGTTCAAAAGCATAAACAATTTTTTACTGCATTCGAACCTGATCATCTACCTTCCAAAACAAATTGTTACATTATGTTCGCCGATCAACATTCAACGAAATACATCCTACTCATGTTGTCATTTGCAACCTTAAGTCTCATGTTTAACATCTGATGAACAAAGTTTGTTGACTCATGTCATTTACATTCAACCCAATTCTTATGTACATACATATCTACGCCTAAAATTTGTTTCTTTACATTTATCTCACTATTTATGGAACACACCTTTTCACTCATAAATAAGATGCCATATATGTAAAAAAATGAAAATGTAGATATTAGTATGTAAATACCTATGAGTTGAGTGGTATGAATAGAAATCTTCCCATAAATAAATAACATATAGAGAGTGACACTATAACTGCTCCTTTAACATGTAGTGGGGGAAATAAGTGGCTTTCATCTGTTGAACAGTGTTATAGTAAACCATCATGTCTAAAATTAGCTATGCACCACTATTAGTTGAATGATATTTATGCCTTCTGTCGTAATATTTGGCTTATTTATTTATTTATTTATTTTATTATTTTACTTTGAAGGAATTTTAATAAATAAATTCTCTTCTCGTAATTTCTTTTGAAGGGCTAAACTTTTGATTTTAATGAATATTTATATTGATATGTCACA